AATTTCCAATATTCAACAATCAACATTAACATAATTATTCTTCCAATATTCCACATTGATATAAAACAAACATATTACACATGACACTTTTTCTTTTTCTTTTTTGTTGGGCTGTGTCACAATTTTTTTGCTCATTAACCAAAACCAAACCAAATCAGTCCACTGAAACTGGTTTCATCTCCTCTGCTTCTTTCCTCAGCTCATCAAACAGAACAGACGACAAGTATCTCTCTCCAAAGCTCGCATGAATCGTCTGTTATAAACAAATCAAAATCAAATCTCTGCCTCTATCAAAACAAAACTCAAGAACAGTTTTTATTCCCCTCTTACCACAATGAGTTTGCCTTTATTCTCTGGCATTTTCGCCAGTCTAATCGCTGCCACGGTGTTAGCACCCGACGATATCCCAACCTACAAGTTGGGCTTCCATTGTTAGAACCAGAGAAACAAACAAGCAGACAAACCAAAAACCGGTTATCTCACTAATCTCCAAAAAAAAACTCACCATGAGACCTTCTTTCAATGCCAATTCTCTAGCCATCTTTATAGCATCCTCACTAGTAACCTGTTCCTCTCGCGCACGTATTCTCAAAACATAAGCTTTTAAAAGTTTGACACAATACGAAAAAAAGATGGAAGCTTTTGAGCCTTGTACATTACCTCGAGAACGCTCTCCATAACATCCATATCCAAGATATCCGGTTTAAATCCAACCCCATTGCCAGTAATTGCATGTGGACCTAACTCAAAAGTTCAAAACTCTAACATCAGCAAACGCATAAACTCGGATAGACTACGAGGAATCAAAGAACGAATAAAGGTGTAAAGATTCAATACCTGGCTTGCCACCATTGAGTATGTTGCTTTCTGCAGGCTCTACTCCATATATCTAACATTTGCAAGGCATTAACTAAATGATCAAAAAGCAATCTCAAAATATTCACAAGATATCTTCAAACCAATCACCTTGACATTGGGGTTTTTAGACTTAAGGTATTGGCCAACACCAGATACCGTTCCTCCACTGCCAATTCCCATCACGAATATATCGACATTCCCAAGTGTATCTTCCCAAATCTCAGGACCAGTCGTATCAAAATGAATCTACATTAAAATACTCCAAGCATCCATCATCTCTACATCAAAATGTGAAATGCAAATTGAAAGAAAAAAAGAGATTCTATCTAACTCTTTCAGTAAGTACCCGAGTGTTTGCTGGATTAGCAAACTGCTGCAACATAAACGCATCAGGAGTGTTCTCGAGGAGGTCATACGCTTTCTTAACGGTACCACCCATTCCTTTAGCTGGATCAGTGAGTACAAGCTCAGCACCAAATGATCTCATAGTCACTCTCCTCTCCAAACTAGTGTAAGAAGGCATTGTCATTATGATTCTATACCCTTTCATTGCCGCAATAAAAGCCATACTTATTCCCATGTTCCCTGAAGTTGGCTCTATCAACACAGTCTGAAAAAAAAAATATATATATACAAGCATCAATTAAAACTCTAATTCACCGTTAAATCTGAGATTAAAATGTAAAAAGATGATTACTTTTCCAGGAGTGATAAGTTTTTTCTTCTCTGCATCTGCAACCATAGCTAAAGCTGGTCTGGAAAACAAACAAAAATCAACACTTTCTAGCTTAAACTATCAAATTACATTAAAAGTTGTGTTCTTTGCTTTGAAGATTAAGATTTTTACACAAGTACCTGTCTTTGATGCTACATGTAGGTTGGAAATGTTCTTGCTTAGCTGCAATATAAGCTTCACATCCTTCAGTGACTTTATTGAGAAACACGAGAGGTGTTCTTCCGATAAGCTAAAAACAACAGAGACGGGTTTTGATCAATCGACATCGGAAAAGAAGAGAAATTTGGTAAAACCCAGATCGGATTTTTGAAGAAAACAGTCTTCTTTTTTACCAGAGAAGCATCGCGTTTGGCATTAGTAGAGGGGAAATCTTTGGGGAGATTTCTGAGTCTTTCAACGAAAGAAGGAGATCCAACGGTGGAGAAGAGCTTCCTTATGCAGGGGATCGTCTCTCTCTTCAGCAACCTTCTCGAAACAGTAGCCATTGTTGACTAAAAACAGAGCTTGAAGAGTCTTTGTTCTGTTATTAGAAGAGAGAGAGTTGAGTTTGAGACGACGATTGAAAGGTGGAGAAGAAACGAAGAAGCTAACAATCACAGAAAAGAGATGGCTTTTGAGAGAAAAAAATGGAAATAATAGAGAAAGACTAATTACAATGTATCATCACCATCCATTAGTGTAAAGTTGGAATATAAAATTGTGAAAAGATTAAATTAATTACTGTGACCAAAAAAAAAATTAATTAAAGTTGAGAGGTAAGTGAATGGTACTTGTCATAGTTTCACTGGAATGATACAATAATACAGAGTCAGTTACATTTATCTTTGGGATATTTACTAGAATGTCACATAAATGACTTCTAATCTCCAAAATGCCATATGACCAAACTACTCTCTCAAAATTATCAGTTGCACACTATTATTCCAAAATTGTCTAAGTATGCATCCAAAAAGTGTAGCCTCAATTTGACTTTATTGTCATAAAGAAACACGTGTAAGTGGTATAAAGAGAAACCATTTTTCTTCCAAAATATCTTTAAGAAATCGATTATCAAAAAAAAAAAATTAAAAGTTTTTAAAGTTATTTATGAAGAAACCAAAAGTTCGTATTCTCTCTTTCTTCTTCAACGAAATCCTAGTTCTGAAAAATGGAATCGGAAGCAGCGGCGACTAGCCTCCCCAACTCAATTTGTTATCGGAAATACTATTTTGGTCCTACGACTACCTTCCTCCGCGAAGCTAAATGATTATTCCAAACCAGAGCTGCTCACTAAGACTGCAGACACGTTAGAGGGAACTAAAGAACTAGATTTCATCGACAATGGAACCGAAATCAGAAGTGAATCCAAATATGCTCAAACTTGTCTCTCTACAACCGCCGTCACTTGACGTAACTCTCTGTTGTAAAAAGGAAAAGATGTACCCAACTTTATGTAAACTGGTACACAGTCGTCAGTAGTGTGTACATATCACATAGCAAATATCAGGTACACCAAAGATGCAAATGTTGAAGATCGACGTATATGTCTAGGTAGTCAACAAGAAGACAAAATAATTACGAGAGTGGTTGCCGTCAAGAATTTGGTACAGAGAGAGTAAAAAACAATGTACACTTTAATGTAAAAGGTGTTAATGTACGTACATGAGTGCGATGTACAAAACGAGTTAGCGATGTACCCTTAACACTAAAGATGTACATCGAATATGTTATTAATGTACACGGATCCTTTATTGACGTACACCAATGATGTATGTTTAGGTCCCGCTGATGTACACATAGTTTTCGATTATGTACACCAAGTTATGGTTGATGTCACCATTTATGTACACTCAGTAAAACCCCACATAAATGTACATCTGTAATCGCAACTATACGGTATATGCTTACGTACACCATATACCCCTATAATTTCAACGCATGCACGTACACTGTTTGAGTGTACGTATACGTGCACGTGAATATCATTTACTATTCATATACAATCAGTTCGAGATGTACGAGGTTAGTGTATATGACGAATGACGCATGTTTATATGACTTTTTGTACATGTTAGTGTACACATGTTTATATGAGTTTGTGTCCTTGATAGCGTATGTACATCTCTTATTGAGAATTCATATCCATTCTAAATGCATAAAATCTGACAAAAAGCGGTAGCATTAAATGCAACTCCAACAAAAATAAAACATGGACATTTTCTCGTATGCGTACATCATCGACAATAGGTTTCATGTATGTCAATATGTACGTGTCTCGTATGCGTACGTCATAGAATCCATCTATCTATGTACGTATGTTATCCAACATTAAATGATTTACAGCTTTTCCTCATTTAATGGTAATCTGTACACTCCTCCATTAATTACCGCTGAATTGATCCTCCAAAAAGTTTTAATCTGACACACTAACATCTCATTAATGCTCACTCCTACCCACATATACCAGGGCTAATTTCGTCATATTCTTGTGTAAGTGACATTTTGGTATTTGGAAACTGCAATTTGACATATGGTGTAATTAGAAACTCAGAAAGTGACATTTTCAGACATTGTCCCTTTATCTTTTTCTAGCAAAATTTTTAACTTCTTTTGTTATTCAGTTAAATTGATTTATAGGTCAAGGAATCTTCATGTTTTGTTGTCAAAATGTCTCTCTCGAATTAACAAGGATAATTAGGTGAGGTTAAGGTGACACGTTTAAAATACGACAACAATGCTGAACCGGACAAATTTTGAAACCGAATCGGTTAGCTGAATAATTGATTAACCGGTTATCATACGTATGTGTGGTTATAATTATGTATACAATCCCCAAAGATCATTAGAGCATTACCAACAGTGAAAACTCAAAAGTTTCTTACAAATATTATATTAATATTTCAATTAAAATTGTTACATAATTAATTAAAAAAGTTGAACCAATTTCAGTTTACCATTTGGAAAGAAGAGTGACATGTCTCTTAGAGACGTCTCTAACGTCTCGTGGGAAAGAAACGTATCACACAAAATCTTCTTTTTTTCCTTTTTTTTGTTTTATTACAAAAAATTTTAATGGGTTCACCGATAAACATGCTTTTAAAATC